CCCCAAAACCCCAAAACCCCAAAACCCCAAAACCCCAAAACCCCAAAACCCCAAAATTCAACTCAAGCTTGAAATTAACTCTTAATATATTTATTTTATTTGCAACATTTAGCTCACAATGGAGTTCCTTCGAGCAGATTCTGATCTAGAAAGAGAGAAAAGTGCAGATTTCGGCAAATCAAATCACTCAAAAAGTCAAAAGGCACGTAGAAAATCCCATATGCGCCCATTAGAGCCTATAAAAGTTCCTAAAGAGACACCCTTTACCCGAAATGTTGAATATAGGTACTTTTATTTCAGAATTCTAGTAATGAAATTCAGAGAAAAATTGATTACTTTATCACTCCTTACAATCACATTTTGGAGATGAACAAGAGCGTCTCTTACCAAGAACAATCCTCCTTTGATACCGAGGAAGAACGGTCCAGGGCTGATATCAGTAAGCCAAATTTTCCCTATCTGTGATAATCTGTGTAGGTGCAATGGCACTGTGGACTAAAGTGGCTAACTTTATTATCTCTAAAAGGTCCGCATTCAAAGAGAAATTAGGTAAGCAATTGACTGTTATTGCGATATGAAACTGAGCTTGAAACACTAAGCTGAATTTCATCCTTTGAGAAAATAGTCAAAGGAATTAGGGTGACATCAAATTATATTTTAGTATTAAAAGAAAGCATCAGAATTTCTCACAACTTAACACTTTTTGATGGGATTTAGATTTTATAAAGAGAACAATTCCAGTGAAAATGAGCGACCCAGAAAATACAGCCTTGTATAGTCCAAAATAAGTCAAAAAATTACTTAAAGAGAAGCCCTAAATCTAAACGTCGTAAATCAAAATAAGATTTTGGAAAACTCCTTTGTGTAAGCTAGATCAAATTAATTCTCATAGAACAAAAGAAGTTTCCTCTGAAAAATCCAATTCGATTGTGTCTGATTATGGTATGGAGAAAGAGACGCTCTTCAAACCCAAAAGAATGACAACTAAAATGTACAAGCTGATGAAAAAGAACAGACCTCGGGATAGAAGTAAGTGCTTCAGAAGGCGGTTTCTGCTTCATTTTTTGACTGGAAAATCAGTTCAGAATCTTTGGATGGGTTTTTGGGGCTGAAAGCAGATTTTGTTGGTTTTAAGGGACACTTGGTTGTAACCTCTTGGGATAGGAGCAAAGCCACAGTCTTTGTCATTGCCGAAATCGCGATCAGGAGTAGAGAATATTAAGAAGGAGGAATTAGGGAATTCCCTTCCGAAGATTAGGAAGGTTGGGGGTGTGAAGGTAGTTCATAAGCCACGTGTTTCGCATTTGTCGTTCAGATACAACAACCTAGTCCCAAAACTCACCAGTGACTACAAAATCCCTAAGTAAGCCCTTCAAAACCCTCATCCTCCCTCTAGAAACCTCAAAGCCCAAAGACCTCTCACTCAGCTTGCCCACAAGCCCCTCATCCTTCCTCAAAATCTCCGCCGTGGAAGGAACAGCTCCAAACAAATTAAGAAGAGCTACAATAGTAACAGTAGCTATAAAAGAAAATCTAGGAAAAGAAAGAAGGCTCAGTGGATAGATTAACTTAAATTTTAATGCAACATTCAGTTCAGATTTTGTTATGAGGGGTTTTGGGGTTTTGGGGTTTTGGGGTTTTGGGG